TTTTGCTGGCTGTAGCAGCGCTATAGCGCTGCTATAGCGCTGCACAGCAAAAACGCATAAAAAAGGCAACAGATCTGAAGCGCACTCTTGTCAGAAGCCGGTCATCGTACATCTTATAACCACCGAGGTAAACCCTCATTTTTCCAAAAAAAAAGGAAGACAGTTTCCCTGAAGCTTAGTATTCTGGACCTTGATTCTTCACTGGTGTGACAATTCCTTCGCTGCGCCAATCGATACTGTCCGGCAGGTCGTCCAAGGAAAGATTGTACTTTTTCAAATCAAAACCAGGATCGTCCCTCAGTTGTTTCGTTGGCCACAAAGCTGGCAACATTATCTGAGAACCAGCAATTTTTTACAATTATATAATGGGAGACCATTATAGAGAAAAACCTTTATTTTGTTTCAAATTGCAACAAATTTCAACAGCGACCAACCTTTTAATTTTAGAAACATAAAACGTATATAGTCACAAATTCAAAATCAACTAAGGGGACTCTTTTTATGGCGACATAACCCTCATGCTTTGATTTTCGGAGTATAGTTTCTCAACTTTTTCATGTAAATGCTACGTAATCTCGACATGTTTTCTAGTAGTTCTCCATCTCCGCATAATATGGCATTTCACTTTTCCAGCTGTCTGAGAAATTCACACCCTCATTCGAAATTAAAATTTGTATAGGCTTAATTTTGAAATCGATACTAATCAGGTGTTTTTGCTTATATGCAAATCGCAAAAACGCATATTGCAACAACCCTGTCTGTGTGTGTTTGTGTGTGTTCGTCTGTCCGGGTATTTTAACTAGGCAACCAAGCAAGCTCCAACGCCAAAATTTTGCTAGTGAGTCCTCCGGCCATGTGCTACCCCAGAACCGCCGTACCAACCCATACGCAGTTCTGGGCCCCGCGTACGAGAGGGCGGAAATTTCGGCGGAAAAATTGCTAACTCGGGAATGGGAAAAGCTGGAAAGCTGAAATTTTGGGATTGCGTATCCCGTCCACATGGAACTCAAAGATTTCAAATTCAGCCCCTGGGTGTGCATGGTTCCCGCGTACAGCCCCTTGAGAGTTCTTGACGCGAAAATTGCTAACTTGGGAACGACGAAAACTGGACGATTGAAACTTTCAGTGGATGCTCTCAGCCCATGTACCACTTAAAGCTATCAAATTCAACCCCCAGGCATGCGCGGTTCTCACGTACCGCCCTGCAAAACTTCTTTAGCTAGAAAATGGCTACCTCGAGAACCAGGAAAGCTGGAAGGCTGAAATTTTAAAGGGATGTTCCCAGCCTACATGCAACTTAAAGACTACAAACCCAGCCCCAGGTATGATCCCAGGTTACTTGCGGCCCTGTGAAATTTTTGACGGGAAAATTACCAGCTCCGGAACCAGAAAAGCTGGAAAGCTGAGATTTTAGGCGAATGTCCCCTGTCCAAATATAAATTAAAGGTTTAAATTCAGCCCCAATGTACGCGTGATTCTCGTGTACGGCTGCTTAAATTTTTTTTTTGGGGGGAGGGGGGAAGGGGGAGGAAGAAATTACTCACTGAACAGCAGCTTCATTTTCAAAAAACGACTAATAA